GTTCTCCGCAGGCTGTCTGAGAGGTGGGCACCACCTTCCCCCCATTGTCTTCCTTCCATCCACCACCTATCCCTCCATCTGCCCATCCATTGCCCGTCATCATCAATCCATTGATTCTCCATCTAACCAACTACCCTTCCATTCGCCTTCCATCCATACACAGGCTCTCTATCCATCCGTCTTCCTTCTATCCATCTCTCCACCCATCGCTGATCCCTCCACCCCTCCATATACCCATCCACTCACCCCACCATCCATGCACTATCCATCCTCCATCCAACCAACCTTTCCTTGGTCCACCATCTCTCTATCCATCCCTCATTGATCCATCCATCCTCCAGTCTTCCATTTACACATATAGACCCACCCATCCATCTGCCATCTGTCTATCCACCCATCCAGCATCCATCTACCCACCCATCCCTCTGTCCACATTTATCCTTCCATCCATCCAACAGCCAGCCAGTCAGCAGTCATTTATTGATCATCAGTGTGACACACTCTTTTCTAGGCACAAAGGATAAAGGGAAACAATACAGGCTAGAATCCGACCCTCCGGGCAACTCCCTCAGGATTGTACGAGGAGGGAATAGATCTTGAGGCTTTAGCTGTAAGAACTGCGGGTGAGAGAAGTTGGAGGAGGAAAGCACCAACCACCGTGGGTGCAGAATTGCAGCCCCTCCTAGACGCCCCCACACCAGATCACCTCTCCTGAGCAGGGACTGGGGTAGAGCCAGCTCTTCCCAGTGTGTGTGGGATGAGGCTGCTGTTCCAGTGGAACTGGAGTTCACGAGGCTCCTGTGGACTCGGGACTGCAGAGCCCCACAGCCATGCCCTGGAGAACTTGGGAGAGCCACCTGCTGAGGGAAGAACAGAAAGCAAAGTGCACCCCAGGCTGAGTCTGCAGCAGAGAGGTCAGAATATTCTCTCAACACAGGGGAAGGGTGCAGAAAACCTTCAGTCCCTCACCCATCTCCAATCCAACTCAGCTTCAGGGATTAGGAAATGGCTGTGGGTAGCCTGCCTGGGTTCACTTCTACATACAGGCCTCTTCTGTCTCCATGGCACCCCAGAGAGGTGTCTGCTGCTGCTCTTGGTCTGTGAGAGGGATGGGCTCAGGCTGTCCCCTTATGGGGACCTGTGAGGATGCTTCCTGAAGGGGGTGGCCTTGCAGCACCAATAAATCTTCTTCTTTGAGGGGTTGCACACTCCATCCAGATCCAAGGAGGGTTCCCTGGGAGCAGAAGGGCTGGTCCTCTTTGGGAAGAGAGCAGGGAAGGCAAGACTTCCTCAGATTTAAAACAATATTTTCAAACTCAAGACTGGCCATAAGGACACCCCAGGGGTTAGCGGATGGAAATGGCTACTATCGGGAGTGCTAGTATGAAGACTGTAAGCAAGCTGGAGTCCTGGATCCCTCCTCTGCCCATGATCAGCTGTCCTACTCCTAGGCTGGCCAAAGTCCCAGGGGTGCAAGCAGCTGACTGTGTGACCTCTACCTTCAACCCCAACTTGGTCCCAGGAAGCTGGCAGCCAGATCCCTCCCTGGCTCCCCAGAAACTTTCCTGGGAGTCAGATCCCTAAAGAGGCTGACATCCAGGGTTCTCAGCATCACTCAACCTTTGTCTCAGGTCTTCTGGTCAGCTCTGAGGCATGCACACACAACCAGGCATCAGTAGGATCTGTGGAAAGAGAAAAACCACAACAAAGTGAACAAAGCCATCTGGAGGATGCACAGACCACACAGGCAGAAACAAAAGCTTTGTATACCCAGAAAATTCCAAAAGCAAAGATCAGAGAGAATAGAGGGGAGAAAATCACCCCAAAAATTTTTCACAAAAATTCTCCAGAATTGAAATTTCCCATTTGAAAGAACTCACCGTGGATTAAAAGAGCCACACTTCAGGGTGCATGCTCGTGAAATATCAGAACACTTGGGACAGAGAAAATTCTCTGTGACCCCAAGAGGAAAGGGCAAGTCACAAAGCCTACAGCAACAGAATCTCCTCAGTCTTCCCAACAGATGGGTGGAGGAAGGGGACAATGGGCTCACACTCTCTCAATTCCAGATAAAAGAAATCATCGCCAATTCTATACCCAGCCCAACTAGCAGAAGAATAAAACCCTTTCCAGACACACAAAGTCCTAATAGAAGGTATCTCCCCATGCATCCTTTATCAGAAGTTACTAGAAAAGGTGCTCCAAAAAACAAGAAAGCAAATCAAGAAAATGCACACCATAGGTAGCAGATCTGAAGGAATTTCCTGAGAGGGTGGCACCCAGAGCTCCTGGGACAGTGGCTTCAGATAGGATGTGGGGTGGTTGGAGCAGATGATGAAGAAGCTGGAGATGTGGATGCCACCACAAGTACACCTGCAGTCACTGTCCCTTGGTGGCATTTGGTTGGGGCTGGCTCATATTCCCATCTGACTTGGCCGATCTTGACAGTGTGCAGATGAGGTGCTGGCTTCTCTCTGTATGAGCTGCCTGTGGTGGATGTGACATTGGCCACATGCCTAAAACAGCACCAAAACTGTTATCGTTCTGGTCAGGAACCTGAATGGGTCTTCCTGGCTCAAGTCAAGGAATGGGCGGGACTGTTTTCCTTTGGGGACTCTAGCACATGTCTGTCCTGTCCTTTCTAGCTCCCAGGGACTGGCCATGTTCCTTGACCGTGGCCTCTTCTTTCTGCAAACCCAGGGAGGCTGCTTTCTCCTATGACTTCATTCAAACTCTCACACTCCCAGTCTCTTCCACCACAGGTGAGGACCCTGTGATCACGTTGCCACTTCTGAAAATCTGGGCTATCTTTCCCACCTTGAGGTCAGCTGACAGTGACCTCAGATCCTGCAACCTCAATTTATCCCCACTGCTCCCTTACCTGACCTCCCCTCCTCTCATCCTTTATCTTTCTGCTTGGCCACATTTGCCTCAGGGCCTTTGCACCGACTGTTCCCTCTGCCCAAGTGCTGTTCCCCAGATACGCAGGCAGGCCCTCCTTACTCTCGTCCCTGCTCAAATGTGTCCCCCCATGCATCTCTCTTGCGCAGCCTGTTGAAAATCATGCCTTCCTTGTACCTGAGTGCTCACGCTCCTTCTATGTCCATAGCACTTAGGGTCTCCTAGCCTGCTACCCCAGCTGTGTATAGCAAGAAGGCAAACTTGAGGAGGATGGGGAGACTCTTACCCAGCTTAGTCACTGCTGTGACCTCGGAACCTATGGCTGAGCCTGGCACAGTAGATGTGCAATGAACGAACACAAGACTCATGCTCTAACCTGCTGGACACCTGGCCTTGCCCAGCCCTCTTTCCCACTGGCTTCTGAGTGTCCCCTCACTGCCTGGAGACAGAAGCCAGACTCTGGTCTGGTCATCGGTTCTCAGAACTGTCTCCTGTCAGGGACAGTGCTGCCTTTCCTTGCTGCCTCAATGGATCTGCCTGTCCTGGACATTTCATGTAAATGGAGCCATGCGCCATGTGATGTGTCTGGCTTCCATGACTTGTTGTAGCATGTGTCAGTGCTTCGTTCCTTTTATGGCTGACTAATATTCCAGTGTGTGGATGGAGCCCATTTTATTCACCCATCAAGGTTACTGAAATGTTCCCCATTCACTTCAATTTCATTAAGCTTCTGCAGTTTTCAGGTCTGTATTAGGTGATGAGAGTATAAATCAGATGGAAGGAACAGTTGGCACAAACCCTGAACAGTGGTGACACCCAGGCTGGCGGAAAGGTCATGCAGCTGGCCAAGGAGCTGCAGGGAGAGCTTGTCCTGTGCTCTTCCGTCCAGCAAGCACTGAGGGCCAGTGCCGACTTCATACTCTGAGCTGTGCAATGTGCTCGTATGCTCATTTCAAACACTAAAAGCATTTAAATAACAGCCTTATTGGGATGTAATTCACAAGCTATATCTTATGGCTTGGACCTAAAATGTGCCCCAAAGGCCTTGGAGAAGTGATTGGATCACAGGACTCAACCACTGACGCATTCACAGATGGATGGGCTCTTCGGAGGTGGGGTCTACTTGGAGGGAGTAGATCATGGAGGTGTGACCTTAGGGACTATATCTGGTCCCCACATCCTCCTCTCTGGCTCTTTCCCTCTTTGCTTCTGGCTGCTACGAGGTGAGCAGCTTTTCTCCCCCACACCCTTCCACCATGATGTTTCTGCCTTGGAGCCAGCCAGCCATGGACTGAACCCTCTGAAACAGTGAGCCAGAATAAAAATGTTCTGCTTTGAGTTGTTAATGTAGGGCATTTTTTCATAGTGAGGAAATGCTAACACATCATCACAGCCACCCTTTATTAACTGAAAGAGGCTGTGGCACTAGGGCATTCACAGTGGGCACACCTTGCACCTAGTTCTGCAGTGCTTCCATCACTTGGGCTGGGCTGCCGTCATGCCCTGCCTCCCCGTCCCTGAGGCCCTGGCTAGTGCTAATCTACTCTCTTTCTCTATGGTTTGGCGTATTCTGGGCATCTCTGAAGGTGGATGTGGTCCTGTGTGATCAGTTCCATTCACCAGGCATCACTTTGCCAAGGCTCATCTGTGTTGGAACACCTGTCAGTGCTATTTCTTTCTGTGCTAAATGATGCTCCCTGCCCAGGGCATGTTGCCTTCTCCTTGACCGCTGAGCTTTTGTGTCCTCCCTTCTGTGTGGTCCTGAGGCAGCCGGACCTGCTCTGGGTGCTGGAAGACCGGGGACACCATGGGCTCCTGCACTAGGGCCAGCAGCCTTTCGGTCTCGTGCTGCCCTTCAAGGTGAGGACTTCTGGAGCAGCGTGTGAAGACCGTTCCTACCATTCAGGCTGGGCCCTGTGGGGCTGACCAGGGTGAGACCTTCCTGGTGCCTCGGGACAATCCGGGACCGGGGAGCAGCCGGGATGCCAGCTCGAGTTGTTCTTACTTAGCAGAAATCACACACACAAGGGGAAATCACACAACGCTGATTTGATTGGGAAGGCAGCCTTCAATGAATGACATCATCCCCAGAACATAAATCTTGGTTTGTATGATTTATTTATGTTAAGAAATCCACAGATGATGCTGAGTTTTCAATGGCTTTGTTTAAGTGATAGTTTTGCCTTTTTAGTGAAAGTTGGAGTGATGATAAACAGCTCCAGCTGTAAAAATTAAAGGCGGAGGGGAAGCCAAGGTGATTATTACAGAAAAATGCTGAGTGGGGAGGGGCATTTGGCCCTTCCATCCTCTAAAATGAAAATTACCCTCTGCCACAATGTGCCACGAACAATTACCTGCTGTTTATTAATTAACCTCCTTTAAAAATGCCACATTTCTATGAGAAACTGTTATTTCTCCAATGTGGAAGCTGGCGCTGGCACTCGTTAGAACCACCAGGTTCCACGCGGGCCTGGCTCCCGCACACTTAACGGATTCCTATTTCTTCAAACGCACCTTCATGATTGGAAATACCTCATTAGAGGTGCAGAGACCGAGCGTGACCTGCTCCGTGTGTTAGTCCCCAAGCGAGCCCAAGGCCGCTGGCTGAGGTGTGGGCCCCATCGGACCCAGGCAGCCCCGGCTCAGTGCCTCAGGGTGTGGGCAAGGGGGGCTCCCCAGCAAGAGGTGGGTTCAGGAAGCACGGACCCCGCATGGCCTAACCCTCCTGGGCCCAGGCATGCACGCAGGTGACCAAGAGGCCAGCACCACCTCTGACCTCATGGGGCAAGGGGGGGGGGCTGCAAGGAAACCCTAGGCCAGGGCTCCCTCCCTGGTCACACCTCTGTCACCCTGAAAGCCAATACCCTGGGATAAAGGTGTGTCGGCAGTGCCTCATGTGAGTCCTGCTGTGGCTGCCTGAGACAGGTCCCTGTGCCTGATAGGCTCGTGCCCCTGAGCCTCAGTGGAACCCTCTCAGCACCTGCCACAGGGGTCACTGTGAGCTTCACGGGGCACAATGTTGAGATCCAGGGGTGGGAGGGAGCCAGGCGACACCCAGGCCCTGCAGGGCCCAGCAGTGCCCAGGTTTCAGGGAGCCTGAACCCTCCAGAACAGATTTCACAGAGCTTGAGGGCTCTCCACCGAACCCCATGTCCTGTGCATGGAGGGCCCCGCAGCAAGTCCATTTCCTTCCTAAATCCCTGTGCTGTCACAGCAGGGCTCTGGTGGCTGGTTCCCTTCAATGTTCCGGTCACATGCTGCTGGCACCCACTTGCTGAATGCCACGTGGGAGCTGGGATAGACAGGCAGGGGGCTCAGCCTCAGTCCTCTGGTCTTCCAGGAGCTCCTAGGACACCACTCCAGGGGCTCTGCACTCACTGGCTGGCTCGGGCCAGGTGTCAGAGCTCTGCAGGTGGGAGACGCAGACACCACTGGGGGACACACCCTGCATTCCACTCAGAAGCCCAGGCCCACTCCACCCTGCCCCAGCCTCTCCTAAATGTAAGTGAATGGAAGAAAGAACGCTGGGTCTGAACCTGGGGAGACCCGCAGGCCCCCGACAGCAGCTTAGCAGAGCCCAAGGTCAGGAGGAGGGGTCTAGCCAGGGCAAGTAGCACAAACCTGTAATCTCAGCATGCTAGAAGGCTGAGGCAGGAGGATTCCCTTTGAACACAGCCTGGGGAATTTAGTGACTTAGAGACCCTGTCTGAAGATAAAAGATAAAAGGGCTGGGGTTACAGCTCAGTGTGAAAGTTGTGGGTTCAACAGAAAAGAAAAAAGGAGAGAAGGGAAGGAAGGAAGGAAGGGAGGGAGGGAGGGAGGGAGGGAGGGACGGGGAAGGCGAGAGGGCGGCCGGCGAGACTTTGCGGGAACCTGCAGCTCCCAGGAGCCCGGACCTCATCCCGGCTCCCCTGCTTCTCCTCCAGCCTGGGCAGCTGCCCCTCGGGCTCCAGCTCAGAGCCAGCTCAGGCGAGAGAAGGATCTCTGCCTCTGAAGCTCCCGCTGCCGGCCCTACCCTGAGGAGAGCTTTCCGGGGAGCGCCAGGCTCTTGCCCCAGATGCTGCTGCCAGCACAATACTGCCGGGCGTGTCCCTCCCGCTTCAGACTGGGAAATGGGGCTCCCAGAAAGCTGCAGGGGCTGACTGACGGGTCCTGGTGTGGCTAGGGTGGTCTCACTCCACCTCGGCTGTGGGGTCGCCGCTTCCCAGTCTCCATGGAGGAGGGGATGTCTCCCGGAGGCCACCAGCTGTGTGCCCCTGCAGTCCCACTGTAAGCCAGGAGTGCAGTGCTCCCCTCCCCGAGAGTGCGACTCCCCAGGTCCACGCACAAGGTCCTCACTGAGGTGACCTAAGGAGTTGCAGGACATACCAGGTTAGAGGCGGATGTGTCCCTTCCCTGGTTGGGGGCCTCTGTGCCAGGCGCGGTGCGGGACGCTGGAGGGAAGGATTCCGGTGAGTGCAGGTGGTAGAGCCTGGGGCATGGGTGCCCCGCCCTCCTGGGGAGGAGGGGGGTTGTTCCCGGAGGACACAGGGACCCATCCCATCACCCTGGGGTCACTCTGCAGAACTAGTAATGTTTTTCCTGCCTGAGCCCTTCTGGTCTCTGGCCTTTTCCTGCCTGCTCAGGAAGCCCTCTCCACCAACATAAAGCAGTGACGGGTTTCCTAGAAAGCAGAGGAGGAGAGGGCCTGCTTGGGAGCCCCTTTGGGGTCCTGTGCAGGCTGAGCCCTCTCCCTCCCTAGAGGGACAGCAGACACCCCAGGACTGGCCAGTCTCTGGCACTGCCGGGGAAGACCTAGTCTGGAGGCAGGAGGAGGAGGCTGCTGAGGTGAGGTGTACCCTGAGAGTCGGAGCTCCTTATGCTACATTTCTGGGTACCCTGGGCCCCAGTGATACTCTGAGAACAGCACAAGACTCGCACACCCAGCTGGGGTTTGGGGAGAGGGACTGGCCGGGTCGTCTGGGCGGCGGGGAGAGGAGAGCTCCAGAAGTCAAGGGGGAGGGAGCCCAGAGCGACCGGGAAAGGACAAGGTGGGCAGAGAGTGGTCCTGGGCACCTAGAGACCTTGTCCAGGCACTCCCTCTGCCCCGCCAAAGCCTGGCATTTCTACCCTCGGGTCTCTCCTGCCAACCCCAAGGATCTCTACAGGGCCAGGCACCTGGCCCCAGGTCGCCGAAGGGGACCCTTCTGCATGGTGACACCTGCAGGGTACTGAGCCACAGAGACAATTTTGATTTCCAAACCAGTTCATGGTCCAGAGCCCAACAGGAGATGTGGATTCCGCGGGCGCTGATTTGGAGTCTGCTCCCACCCTGTGGCTCCTCGGTCCAGGCTGCCTGGCCGTGCGAGCCAGCGCTTCTGCTCCCAGTTTTCGTTGCTGTCAGGGCCTTGCCCGAGCGGGGCGCAGGAAGGGGAGGCAGTGGGTGCATCTAGGAGGGCAGCCATCCGGTGGCGCGGCTGTGGGCCTCCGAGCCAGGTGCACACAGGGCGCTGTGGCCTGTGGAGTTCCTCGGTGCCCCGTGACAGTGACACGGGCGGACGGAGACCAGGCAAGGGTCTCCCCAGCTGGACACGGTGGGGCGTGGAGCGAGCCTGTGGCAGGAGAGCACACGCAGTGCCAGCGCAACGACAGGATTTGTTGGCGAATATTTAACAGTCCTGGGACGGAGAGGGAAAGTGTGGGAAACGGATTCCGTTGACTGCTCCGTGCAGGATGCCGCAGGCAGGCAGCTCGGAGCCTCCTCTGAGCTCCCCGCGCTCTGGGAGCTGGTCCCGCCTGGACCCATGGGAGAGGAAAAGGGGTCCAGTCTGCAGCCTCCAACTCTTAAAACAAACGCAAACAAACCGAATAGAGCCACCTGCCCTCGGGACCCTCTGAGAGCACTTGGCAGCACCCAAGCCCGGCACACCCTACGCATCTGACAACACCAGGCAGCCACAGCAGCCCGGCCCCAGCGGGGACAGCTGGGCTTCTGAGCAGAGCACGTGTGAGGTCTGCTGGAAATCGGCCTCTGGGCTCCATTGCGGGAAGTCCGGACTGGGTGCTCCCTGATCGGCCTCTCCCGGCACCCACTCCCGAGCACTAGGAGGGCCCAACTGGGACCCGAAATTAGGACCCACGTCCTTCCTGGAAGGAAGCTCAGTTCCGAGGGAGGGAAAGGGGGCAAAGCGGGTGTGGGGCGCCCGGGGCAGGTGAGGCTTTCGCTGGGGAAGCCGCCACCGCGCAGTCTCAGAGGCCTGGGTAGGAGGAAATGGCCCTTTGGGGGGTCCAAGCCCCACCCCAACCATTTCAGACCCAAGAGGAGGCCAGGGAGGCTCTGACCCACAGACTGCCACAGTTTTCGCCTCTGTGCAGTGGGGACCACATCAGCTCTTCCGGGGCCCCTTCCAGCCTCTGGGTGAAATCTGGGGCTCATTTCTACCAAAAGTGGGGCTGGAGGGTGCCCCCTAGATGGATCCCCTCATCTCGCCTCAGTGGGGTACAGCGTCTGTGTAGGGGTTGAGCTGGGTTCCTCAGGGGACCCCTGTGCAGCCATCCCAGAGCTCTGGGGAAAGTTCCTCTGCAGACTCTGCTACCGAGATAGGAACCAGCAGCGGATGAGCAAAACTTGACCAGAAATCCCACAGAGCCCCCTCCCCAAGGGTGCTGAGTGCCCAAGGACTGACTGAATTTAAGGGGCACAGAGGAAAGGGAGGGAAAGGCAAGAACCTGGTCAGCACCTCTGGCCAGCAGGGCTTCCATTCCCCACAGCCGCAGGGCTGGGAGGGGCCGCCTAGCAGCTCAGACCTAGGGAAGGGCCCCTGTCTCCCAGAGTGGGTGTGCGAACTGGGAGTACTGGGCTTCCTGGGGAACCTCTGGGGCTAGGAGCCCCTCACCCACTGTCCTCTCTGAGCTGCTTTTCTCCCCAGCCACCTTCTTGGGGGAGTGGTCTCAGTCTGGCTTCCCTCTCCTTCCCGTGAAAATCCTTCTCCCTCCTGTGCCGCTGGCCCTCTGTCCTGCGGGAGCTGCTGGCCAGCTGCCCTCACCTCACTGCCTGCTGGGGGACGTCACTGGGGGTCAGCACTTCCACCCACAGCGAGGGGTCTGAGGTCACTGTCAGTCTGGACGCCCTAGAGCCTGAGTTGGTCTGAAAGCTACCTTGGAGCTCTTAGCAGCTGCCTCTCTCCTTCAGGGCACATTTGCCCTGCTCATTCCCTGAAGTCCCCTCAAAGCCTCTGCCAGGCAGGGACACAGATGGCCTCCTGTGCTGGGCGGGTGGCTTTCCCGGTGTCACCTTTTCGCTCTGAGGCTCCTTGGTGTTTGACCTGCTCTCCACTTCTAAGCCTGGCCACGCGGGGGCAGGGCCTGGCCAGTGCAGGACCCAGCCTCGCCAGGGCCATGGCCTTGAGGGTGGCCTGCTCGGCCCCACGGCAGGCTGGGGACACCCTGCCCTACCGGAGCTGTGGCAGCAGGTGGGGACCTCACAGCTCAGCCTTGGCCTCTGATCCCCTCCCCAGGCAGGCCAGCAGCCGCAGTGTCCCCTCCCACTCCAGCTGCCCTGGCAGAGGGCAGGAAGAGACACCAAGGCCTGGCCTGCTCCCCACATCTTGGAGGTCAGCACAAGACGGATGGCTGTCGCCCCCTCACCTGGCCAGAGCCCACGGGGCCCTCCTGAGCCTAGGCAGGGGCTGGAAGAGGCCTGGGAAGAAGGCTGGGCCTCCCTAGCCTTGGCGTGTCCGGAGGGAGCAGTCAGGAGGGCTGGGCTGGGCTGGGGGGAAGGGCAGAGCCCCTCCCTGGGTGACAGACCTCAGCTCCTCGGAAGCTGCCTCCCTTCACACCAAACCCCGCTGAGGCCACAGGTCGGCTCTCAGGCACCTGGGTGCCCAGGTGCAGGTGTGACCTTGAGCCCACTCTGGCCTGAGGTCAGGCAGGACTGCAGCACCCTACACCCCCGGGCCAGCTGGGCACTGTAGCAATGCCCTCTCCCTGCTGGCAGTCTGCTCTGGGAACTCCCAACCAAGAGCACCAGAGCCTGCCCATGGATGCTGAGGCCAAGGGGACCCAGAGTCCGCATGGGAGGAGTGTGGGACCACAGGCCCTGGAAAGGAGGCAGAGATGGGCTCCCCTGACCCCAGCCACACTCACCGAGGGCAGAAAAGAGCAGAAGCAACAGTCCGCAGCAAGTCCTGGCTTCCAAAGTCAGCGTGCTGCAGACCCGGCCCTGGAGCTCTGGGGACGGCAGAGGGGCTGGAATCTCGGCAAGCACTCCGGCAAGCTGCAGAGGCCCAAAGGTGCAAGGCCCAGGCACCGCCGCCACTGCAGTGCACCAGGCCTTCCCTCAGCGCAGCCAGGCGCTGCTGCCTCCCAGTCGGGCGCCTCTCTGCGAGGACCCGGGCTCCAGGGTCTGCTCGCTCTGGCCGCCTTTCAACGACAAGGCGCAGGGTTCCGAGTGGAAGACCTGGGGTTGCCGATACCGATTTCGTTGCACAACAAAGAGGACGGTGGACACTGCTAGTAGCCCCACCCGGAGCGGCAGGGAGCCCCCCACCCCGCCCCGACTCCGGACTCAGGTGTCCCCTGACAGCTCCTCATCCGGCGGGACCTTGGAAGGCAGCAACCCCGCCAGGGCAGCTCCTCCGTTTCCTTCCAGTTCATTCTTCGAATCCAATCACGCGCCAGTGAGGAACCCGCGCTCACCCCACCAGGTCCCCGGGCTGGGGCCACCCTGCCGGTGCCCGGCCCGGCCCCTCCGCCGCACCTCGAGTGTGGGCGCTCTGGGCAGCAGAGCTCGCCCGCCCGCACTCCTCCGCCTGCTCGGGGCCCGCAGCCCGCGATGCTTGTGCAGCCGGAGGCCAAGGCCCGACCCGGCCCGCGTGGACCCCTCGCACCACGTACTCACCTGGGGCCGCAGGCAGCTGAGCCGAGCGCTCGGGGGCTCCGCGGACGGAGAGGTGCGGGCGGCCCGGATGCCGGACTCAGGCGTCGCCCTCGGACCCGCGCCGCTCCCAGCCGGGCGCGCCGTCCTCGCTGCGCCGCTGCGCAGGACCCCGGCGTGGGGCGACTGCCGCCTGCCAGCCCAGCAGAGAGCAGAGCCCGCAGCGCCCGGGCCGTTGTTTCGGAGCCGCGGAGCCCGAGCGGCAGCCGGGGGTGGGGCGGGGGCGGGGGAGGGGGGGCCCGGGGGGCGCGGGGCCCGGAGGGGGCTTCGGAGGAGCCGGGTTCAGCCGCGCGGCCCGACACCCCCGCGCGATCGCGGGGCGGGGGCGGGACCGAGGGGCGCGTGCGAGAGCAGAGCGGGCCAGGGCGACGGAAACGAGAGCTTTTTAATTAGGAACGAAACGCGACCCACGCGGCGGGCCCGGACCCGCGTGAGAACTGTCGGCGCGCGCGCCCGGATCCCGGGAAGTCGCGGAGCCCGGAGGCAGCCGCCCCGTCTTCGGCCCGGCTGGGGCTCGAGCTGCAGCGCGACGCGATGCGCGGGCAGGGCGGGGGACGGTCACCTCGCCTCCTGGGCCACCTGGGTCCTTTTAAAGTGTCCGGGGTGCGGGCCCCCGGGCGGGAGTGCGGCGCACTGAATGTTCCCTTAAAGGGCCAGTTCCGAGCTGCGCCGGGAGGGGGGAGGGGGGAGAGCCAGAAGTGAGGTGAAGACCGGGAAGGCCGCGGAGAGCCCCCCAATCCCGCGCCGAGGCGGCGGCGGCGGCGGCGGCGGCGCGACGATGAGGATGATGAATACATTGCAAAGTTTTTTTGGCCCCGGCGAGGGGTGTCAGATTGAGTGCTCTGTGCGCATGTGCGAAGGTGTCCAAACTGACAATGCTGGGGAGATGAAGATAGTGTGTAGCTGCTTCTGGGCTCAAGGAGGAGGAGAGAGATTCCGCGAGCCGACACCATGCGATCCAAGGCGAGGGCGCGGAAGCTAGCCAAAAGTAAGTCTCCCGCGCCCGGCCGCGGCGCGGGGCCGGGGCGCGGGGCCGGGGTGCG